GCTGTTGATTACAGATAATTGTAAAGAAAGATTGAAGAAATCACTGCATTTTACTTATATTCTCTTTATTTAAAACAGATGTTGTGTTTGTGATGTATGTACATGTCATGTATGCACTATGCTTCTAATTCTCAAAGCTTTAGCATAACTTTCACATTCATTGTTTCTTCTATGATTTAGAATCCAGTGAAATAACCAGTGTGAATCTCCTTTGGCTCTGGTTGAGGGGCAAGGTTTCTATCAAGCTTGATAAGTTTCACTCCATGTTCTCTTGGCATCTCAGCGGGGTCCTTTTGGAGCAAAGAAAGAATAACAGAATGACATGTCAGCTATTGTGTTGAGTCAGAGAAAATCAGGGACATAAACAATAGAAGGCTCGCTCCACAGCCTTCCCACGGAAGCTCTACTCCGGTACCTTATTCCTAGCTGTAGAGACACACACACACACACACACACACACACACACACACACACACACACACACACACACACACACACACACACACACACACACACACACACACAATGTATTTGTTTTTGCCATTTTTGCCCTACCCCAAGCAAAGAGTTTTTTAAAGTGAGTCTGTGAGAAGATGTTTTGTCCCATGTCTTTTATTAAGATTCTGAACAGTCAGTTACGTGTCACTTACAAAGACAGTGCTTAGAAAAACATAATGGTTGTTTTTCACTTCAATGGAAATGGAGCATGAGCGGCTGTAGCAGATGAAGTCAGCTTGATGGCAACAAGAACAGAGGGAACTTTTGGTTGGTGGTGACTTACGACAGATCTTTGGCAAAAAGATGCGGACCCTGACTCCTTAAACTCCACAGCTTGACATATTTCCACTTTATCTATAAGTTATACAGACAAAAAAAAAAAGTGTGAATTAGAGGCTGTTTGTAGACTCTTTCTACCTTTTGAAAAAGCCAGGCTAGCTGTCCCTGCCTTCACTTTATGCTAAGCTAGGCTAACGGCCCCGTGGTCAGAGTTCAGTAATTATCGTCCAGACTAGGAGCAGGGTTGATCCTTACATCTCACTTGTGGAAAAAGTAAACAAGTTATTTTAACATAATTATGAGCTATTCTCTAAATGTTCACAACACACCGATTATTCAATTGGAAACAAAGTAACCCATTTCAAAAGTCTACTCTGATTCTGTATTTAAGTATCAGTAACATATCATTCATGTGTTATTTTGTTCCCTTTAATTGTTAACACATAGAAACCCTTACCTAAGCATTTTCTCTCTCGTCCCTCTCTCTCTCTATATATATTGTTTTAAATCTCTCTCTCACATTTCCCGTCCACTATTCTGAGACACTGGTTATGTTTTCTCTCCCCTCTCACGCTACACTCATTCAAACTTCTCTTCAACCCAACAGACACACGGACAGAGAGGAAGCTTAATTGGCCGTTATGTCAGAGGTCTTTGTACATGCTCTCAGCACTTCAGATAAGTATCACTAAGTGGTGCTTTTAGAAACATGGATCTTTATCATTCACTGAGAGACTAAAGCACGGTTTAATGAGCCCTTTACACTGGATGTAGTAGCCCCACCCCTTTGATCAAAATCACACTCATACCAATCACTTTTGCTGGGAATTTTGAAGATTTCTGTCCGGTCTGTGTGCTCCTTTCAATGGACGATGTTCAATCAGATTCAAAATATGTGTTGCTTTTATTCCTGCCAGGTCTCTCTGGAAAAATATGAAAATCCAAAAGGAAAAAATATTCAGAGTAATTGCAAGTACTGATGATTGTCATCATTGATAAATCAGCCAATCATTATATATATTAATTGCTTTCTCATTGGGTATATGACATGTCAAACTTGTTCTTTGTTTCAAATTTATATCAGAAACGGGAGAAGCTAAATGTCCAACTCGAGGACCAGAAAAGTTGAGTCTTTTTTCGAATGTTTTTGAATGATAAAGAGCGTAGACCTCTACAAAGGCCATTTACTGAGATTATAAGAGTTGGTCCAGATATGGTTTTATGAGAATTAACCTCTCAGTTATGTATTTATTATGTACTTTCTATCGGAAGTATTAAGGATACCTTACTTTTGCAAAAATAACTTTTCCACCAAGTTGTAATGAAAATTAGGCGAGTAGTTTTTCAATTGATAATTCTGACAAACAGTCAAACTCACAGACTGCACACTAACATAACTCCCTTGAATGGAGGTAGGAAAGGCAAATTAAATGACATCACAACAGACAGTGAAACATTTTCTGAAAGTCTGATCAAACCAATGATTTATCAGCTGATCATTTCGAGGTAGTAGAATACATACCTACAGAAAGTTACTTAGACGAGGCAAGAAAGATAAAATCAACAAAAGTGATGTCAGGTCAGTGGATCAGATCTTCAGCCTGTCTTTAGAAAAGGGATTTTAAATTATATTTAATACACCAACCATGTAACGACCAGGAAACAGATCCTACTTTGACCAAAATTACTCAAACAACCAACATTACTCAAACTTCCTAAACATACAGTGAAAAACACACACACACACACACACTCACACTCACACGCACACAGCTCTCTCACACACACACACACACACACACACGCACACACAGAGACACACAGTATTGGGTGTGGTGGATGTTGTGGAATGAGTTTTTAAAAAAAGCCCTGTTGTTGGTCTCTGATCCCATTAGCTCACTTTGTTTCATCGTTCCTTTCTTCCTGTATTTCGTTGTTATATTATTTATGTGCCCTTCACTTCCTTTGTGGAAGTTGGAACAGAAACCTGGGAAAAGGAGAGGGCGGGACTTCATGGTTACACTGACAGAGAGGCCAAGCAGGGCTAATAAGCTACAGCCAAGAGATTTGAAAAGCACTTCTGGAGGGATTTGTGAAATATTTAGCTGTCATTTATATCTGATAGAACCACAGGGCTGGAAGGATGGCTTTAATAATAGAGATTTAAATACTCTGCAGGGATTCACTGTAAGCTTCAGTATATTTCACTTTTGAGCAAGGCACAGAATGCTGACTAACGCAAGGTGTATATTCTGATATACTAGGGTGTATTAACGTCTGTTAAGGAATATCTGACTTAAAAATAAATCATAGCCTAATTTTTCATCCGCTGTCACCCCAACATACAGCCCCAGTTTCAGAGCCACTTCATCTCCAAATTCTGTTTGAAGATATCATAAAATGTGTATTTGAGTTGCCATGTTACTCCCACAGTGTCTTAGAGTAGTATGACTTATTTAGAGGCCGTTTGTTCCAAATACACTGATCATCAATAATGAATTGAGTGCTGATTAATATTTTCTTCTTAAGTCTGTAGTCTGGAGTTGTTCCTTTGTGTGTATGTCTGTGTGTTTTTGGTGTGTGTGTGTGTGTGTGTGTGTGTTTGTGTCTGTATGTGTGTGTATGTGTGTGTGTGGTGCTCTGTCATCACTCTGAAGGGATATCCCAGAGAAGCATGTTGCTCCGGGCTTGTTTATGTTCCGTGTGCTGCGTGGGTTATGTACATTGCTCTGTATTTATTTCAGTGTATCCTGGACTTAAACAATCTCCTCTCTTCTCATACTTATTTTTATATTGCAATATGGACAGTTAAGCTCCGTGGATTGAAATGTTAGAGTTTGCAATACCATGTGACTGGGAACAGTCCTAACTTGTCTGTCTTGTAATCATATTTATGATCACTTTAACTTTTCACTTTTCCTACATTTATTACACAGCTGTGTTGAATACTTGATTCTGATTGGTCAATAACTGCATTGTATGATCTGCTGCGGATCTGCTCGCCGTACGTTATTCTATACTTACCCAGCATCCATTATGTTGGAAAATATTTTTTTTAAATGAGTTTCTGATGAGGAAATGTCATGTTAAGAGTTTCATCGTGTCGAAAGTAGGACATACGTGTTTGATGGAAAGTGCTAAAGTCGGACATATATTAGTACAAAACCTTATGAACCTTATGGTCCAAAACTTTACACCACCTAATTTGGCAACTCTCGTCATCAGAGAGGCACATGAATGGAGGGTTAGCAACAGCATGTTAGCATTGTCAATCGTGAGCTTGGTAGCATGCTGGCATTAGCACTAGGCTTAAAGCATTGCTATGTCAAAGTACAGCCTCACAAAACTACTAGTTTAATAAATACTTGTGTCATTACGTCAACAAACATATCACGTCAGCACAATTTAAATAAGATGTGCTATCTTATACTGTATGCTTAGCCAACTCCAGCAAAAAGAGAAGTGTGGGCTTTATTCCTTTAAAAACAATTTCCAAATATACAATAACTTGTTCACAATATATATTAAAAACAATACACTGCTGCTTTAGCATGGCTATACACTCTCAGCCTTGTGTTTTTTTCTGCCAGAGGCACCATTTATTACAAACAACATCAAATCATTTTTTTTTTATAGAACAAAGTGCACACACAACAACAAAGCAGCACCCTGTGGTGCTGATAGCTCTTATCCTGTTTGGAAACATTTGTATTCACACCTCCACACATCTCCTGCTGTCTGTTTTAGTCATCCGTCTCTCCTGCCCTCCAGACAGAAGGTCGTGGAGTTGTTTTGTTCTGTTACAGTTTGGACTTGGTGGTGGTAAAATGTGTTATGATGAAAGCAAAACACAGTCGTATCAGCCTGATATTGAATGCAGTATTTTAGCCTCTAGTTATCTTCCTATTAAATGACTTCATGTGATTATCAACCAGACATACTGTGATGTATTGGCTTCTTTCCAGGAGTGAATTTAAAGAGTTACGTGCAATATGTCTCATTCTATGTCAGTGTCCATATGGGGGGAATAACACAGACTCAGATGGGGGGAATAACACAGACTCAGATTTTCATTTCTGTCACACACAAAAAATGATTTTTCTTTTTGTGCGCTGCATATATACGGAATTATTTGTAACTCTGGTTTGCATTGTTTGTCTCTGCTTGTTCAACTTGACACTTAGGTGTTTTCATCTTCTAAATGTATTTAAATAAGAGCATAGATGTACAGAGACAGGGAGATGTGTACAGTCTGTACTGTAGAAGAGAACACTCTGTGCCGCCAGTAATTCATCCTGCCCCTTACTATAAATCTCACCAATGTGAACACTGACCACTGCTGGGCCTCTGTGGAATTTATTCCCAGCAGTAGTTGTCCAATAAAACGTCTTGTTGAATCTCTTAATGACTATATTTCTTTCTGAGGCACACCGTCCATACTTATGTAACCCACCTTTCCCTGTTTGTCTGCCCCTCCCTCCTGTCTGATTGTTAGGAGTCTCCTCAGGACAGTGCCATCACAAGGGACATCAACAGGACTTTCCCAGCTCACGACTACTTTAAAGACACTGGAGGAGACGGACAAGACTCCCTGTACAAGATCTGCAAGGTAGGACACACAAAAATGAGGATGTTTATTGTTTACATTACTGTTTAAAAATCAACGAGGGGCCATTATTGAAGTAGTAAAAATATAAAATCAAAATAAATTTTCTTTGGAGATCACTTTTCATTTAAAACAAATCTGAAAAACTGAAAAATAATGTAAAGAAAGCTTCATCCACAACTACAGCTGACTGTATCACACATTCCTTGTGGAAAATTGTCACAGCTTACAGTCAGAAGTATTCTGTGGAAGTGGCAGCAAAAAGTGAAATCTGTCAAATATTTGTTAGCATGAAAAGATAAGACGGATAAAAACAGATCTTGTAAGGATGGGCTGCAGGTGTGAAGGCAAATTGTCAAATTTCCCCCCTGACTATCTGGAATGTTTCCTTCCAGCACCCTTATAAAAAGTCTGCAAGAACCTTATCTTAATCCACCATGACCACAGCACTAAGAAACATTTAGCAAAGTTGCAGTGGCAAGCTAAAACAGCTTTTAAGAGGCAGAAACCTTGAGCAGAACCAGACTCGTGTTGAACAGCCATCAGCTGAAACTGTTAGGCTTGGAAAGTGGGATAGAGGGAGATATAGAAAGAGAGAGACGGATTGAGACAAACAGAGCAACAACAGCAGCAATGAATACAGTAGATTAATAGCTACAATGGCAGTAATCATGATTAAAGTATGTGTAGTATTAGCAGTAACAGCTAACAGTGTTAATAGACTGATCAATCTAATATAAACATTACTAACTGTAATGATGATGAAAGGTGCAGGACTGATTATATTTATTATAGAGGTTGAAGTTGAGCAGCTCTAAGATTCACTTTGCTATTTATAATAATGATAATAGATGTACGGCTGATACTAATAGTTGTAGCAGTTGGAGTTGTTGTTGGGTGCACAGCAGCCGCCCGCCCACACCAACGATCCAGAGGAACCTACAAGACAAGAAGCTCAGAAACCCCCACAGGAAGATATATTGTTTTGGTAGCAGTAGCAGCCATTGTGAAGAACCTCTTGGAAATAATAGCAATCGGCATGTGCTGCAGAGTCACATTTCCCTATAACACGGTGTAATTACTGCTCTAATGACTGGCTGTACAGTAGGTCTGATGATAAAGTTAGTGGAGCAGTAGTGAGAGCAGTCACAGCTAAAGGCCACTGATCATTAATTAACTCAAGAGCCACTCTGTTTCTGGGGGGTTCAGCAAGTTCAGAAGCGTCAGCGCCTGTCGAGAAATGCAACAGGTTTGAAATCGAAAAAGCCCTCGCAACCTTCCATGTAAGGCGACACAGCTGACAAAGCACACACACACGCAGTGCTGTGGACACACACTTGTACACAAACAGAGGAACTTGTCTCTAAATACGTATTGATCATCATGTGGCAAAGCTTTCTTTTCCTCATGAGGATGAACACGTGCCTTTACAGTGGAGACACGAGTGGTCCGGCTGCAGTTTGATCAAAGCTTTTTTTTTTTTTTTCCCTTCTTCTTCATTACATTCATTATGTATAGCTCAGGTGAGGGCATCCATCTCCTTCCAGACAAGCACCTCCTCAGGTGTGTTTGAATAATTCAGTGGGCCCCCCATTTCCTCTGTGTATGGGATTGAGCCACACTTTGTCCAGCTGACTTTTTCTCATTATTTGTGTTTGTAGCTCACTAGGCCACTACAGCCCTTTTCCAAACTCTCTCACTCTTCTTATAATAACTCAATTGCATCTGTACCAACATCTCTCTCCAACCCTTTCTTTGTCCTCTCTGTTTGACTGTCCTCTTGGTCGAATCACTTCACATCCTAACCTTATCTATTTTCTTTTTTTCACTGCTTTTTTTTAATGCCAATTAAGAGCCTGTTAACAATACAACCTTTTTTTTATTTATTTAAGATTTTTTTTTTTTGTTTGTTTTTTTGTGTGATTTATTGTAGAGATTGGAAAGTGGATATAGTTGGAAATTAAGGAAAGAAAGAGTGGGGAACGACAGGAGAAAGGAGCCACAGGCCGCATTCGAACCTTGGCCACCCGCTTGGAGGACTATAGCCTCCTTACATGGGGTGTGCACAATAACCACTAGGCTACCCTCGCCCCCAATACAACCATTTTTAAATACTAACAACATGCACTTCAACATATTTAGATTTCTATAATGGGCAAATGGAGCAGATATTTCCCTCAACAACTAGTACATCAAAATGTAAGTGCTTTGTACCCAAACGATTCTACTGGGGGTTCAATCACTAAATATTTATGCATTTCTATTTGACTCATAAGACGATGTCCATGAATGTTATCTTAGGTTTTCTGTGTGTAATTTGTCACTTTATTTTTATATGTTTAATTTAAAGTCGTGTTTAGCTCCTGGTGTAGCTCCAGGCTGGCAGACAACTTGTCAACAAATCCTGTTCAGCGCTGCCTGCTACTGAACTTGCTCTGGGCTGTTTTCTTGCCAATATTCTTGCTAATATTGGCTGTAACTTTAAAAAAAAAAAAAAAAAGTTTCCCCATTAGCTGTGAATTTCTTTATTCTGAATTTCATCAGAATAAATTGTATCATTTGATTTTATGATAAAATATAAATACAGTTATATGTAGCTTTCAAAATTGCAGGTGACTCAACATCTAGAACATAATAAATACTTTTATTTGTATTGCATCTACCAAATGTGAACAAATCACACAAATAAAGCACAAATGAATGTCTGAATGACTAAAAATAAAAATAAAACACCAAAGATAAAATATGAATGTTAAAAGTAGCTTGACAAGCAACAGCCCAGAATGTTTTCAATCATTTCTTCTCCTTCATAAACTTGTCCCCGGTGAGACATATTTTCTTACTGTGTGCACCTACTTGCCTCTGTTCTCTCCCCCAGGCCTACTCTGTTTACGATGAGGAGATTGGCTACTGCCAGGGACAATCCTTTCTGGCTGCTGTGCTGCTGCTGCACGTGAGTTCCAACATATCAGAAAAAAATCCTTCTTTTCAAACAATTTGAAGAGCTCAGCAGGGACTGTTTTGTTTTCATTTGACGTCGGTATCTTCTGTGACATTCTGCAATGACGGAGGATTGGTCTGGCTTCTTTTGGATTTCCAAAGCCTTTGTGTCTTGTTTCACTGTAGGATATGATCTTTTACTTAGGAAGAATTCACATGCCAGGTGGCATCTGTGGGGCACTGACATTTGATTTTCTTAAGAATTGTGTGTTATAAATGTTCCTGTTCACCGCCACCTGAGCGCCCGGTTTTCAGACAAAGGATATTATCGCCCCCTAGTGGACAAACAAAGTCCTAAAGAAGTTGGAGGAAAGATGTGTATCAATTATAATAGTTTTTAAAATGAATGAACTTGTTTTATGGAAGGGTTGGGAGATAATCATATTTTAAATTAGCCTCATCAGAAATGTTTACTAACTGCATGTGTTGGTCTTTTTTTTTTTTAGATGCCCGAGGAGCAAGCTTTCAGTGTCCTCGTCAAGATCATGTTTGATTACGGGCTCAGGGACCTTTTCAAGCAGAACTTTGAAGATCTGCATTGCAAGTTTTTCCAGCTTGAGAGACTCATGCAGGTATGTGTGTCCCATTTGCATATTTTTTTT